TAGGGCAGGACCGGGTGATCTAGGACAGAACTGGTGACCCAGGGCAGGACTGGGTGTCCTAGGGCAGGACCAGGTGATCTAGGGCAGGACTGGGTGATCTAGAACAGGATTGGGTGACCGAGAGGAGGACTGGGTAGAGCAAGCAAAATGCCTTTAAGTAGGCAAATGGATAAACAGTCGTACCTCCAGACAGTGGAATATTATTCAGCACTAAAAAGAAATGAGATATCAAGTCATGAAAATAGAGGTACACGGAGGAACCTTAAATGCATATCACTAAGTGAAGAAGCCAGTCTGAAAAGGCCTATACATTGTATAAGTCTAACTCCATGAAATTCTGGAAAAGGCAAAACCACGGGAGACAGTAAAAAGATATGTGGTCGGATGATTAGGGGGAGGGATGAACGGGGACGCACTGAAGACTTTTAGGGCAGTGAAAGTACTCTGTATGATTGTGTAGGGATGGACACATGTCATTGTACATTTGTGCAAACCCATGGAGTGGACCAAAAAAAGTTAACATTAATGTAAACTATGGGCATTAGTTAATTACAATGTATCAGTATTAACTCATCAACTGCAACTAATATACCATATCAAGCCAAGATGTTAATAACAGAGAAATCTTTGGGGAGGTGGGGATAAGGGAGTATGTGCAAAGTGTCAAGACTTTCTCTGCTCAACCTTTATGTAAATCTAACATTCTCTAAGAAATAAAATCTATGAATTAAAAACCTTATTTGCCTTTATGCTTAACCACCTCCACAAAGTACTGCTCCTATGTCTCAGACTCACTCTGAGCACTAAACCTGCAGTGTAACCTTGTGTGACTGCAGTGATGCCATCGGAATCCCCAGCTTCACAGGGTCTTTAGGGCATTATTTGGGAGGGACGGAACACTGAAAACTGGGAAAGAGATACATGGGCAGGTCCTAAGGAAGTTGGGACACTGAACCCCTCCGTTCCACCAACCTTTCTTTGCCAGAAGAAGCCCTCCTTCCCCTCCTGCTAAAGAGGCTAACCCTGTCTGAAGAACGTGTCTGAGCCACCCAGGTGGTTGCCCCACCTGGTCCTGCTGAGCCTTCCCCAGACACACCATCACCACCTCTCACTGCATCTGGACCTACACCTGGACTTAAGTCCCAGCAGGCCCCAAGGTGGGGAGGCACAGAGAGAGAGAGAGAGAGAGAGAGAGAGAGAGAGAGAGAGATGCCCTCAAAGAACGGCATGATCTTGCCAATTTACACCAACAGAAACCTGGGCAACACATGTGGGAATGGCTCTTAAGTATGTGAGATCAAGACGGAATGAACAGAAATTGGACCAGGCTAAATGTATTGAAATGGGCCACTAAGCGCAGATTCTCCAACCAATGTTTTAGATTAGGGGGCTGGAAATAGCTTTAACAGTTTCCACCAATGGTTGACATAAACAGGCATCCGAAGGGGGTGTCCATATGAAATGACGTGGAGATGCCAGAATTTCCTTGTTATATCACAAAGAGGCAAGTGTCTGAGGCTTATGGAAATTGGGACACTGGAGTGGATTGCCATGTAAGACCTGCTAATGACCTCAGGAGGGTCAGGAGGATATGCCTTTCCCCAAGACTATGAGAGATGAGTTTAGAAGAGTGCCCCAGCACCCTTGAAGAGCTCTGTGCTGATGCCCCCTCAGGTCAGAAAGTACCGTGGGAGAGCTCTCTTCAACCTGGGATCCCTAAGTGCAGAGGGGACGACGGGATCTTGAGGTGGCAAGGGCCAAGGGGGCGCATGTAAGAGCTAAGGACAGATGGTTGTGGTCCCCACAAAGCAGCAAGCAGAAGACCGTTGTTACTGATTAGGTGAGCAGACTGCTCCTACCACTGGAATAGACAGACAGAAGGCCTCCAAGAGTCTTAGGGACCTGCATAAGCAGGAAAGTTCCGGATCTACAGAACTGAGGTCTGGCTTGAATCACCAACACAGAGTCACAGCCCTTCAAACAACTTCCAGACTTGGCACAATCCCAGGTCATAGAGTAGAGCCCCAGGAATGAAGCTGCAGGGTCGGGGCAGAGTCCCTGAAGGGTACACAAGTCAGCAATTCATACAGTGATTCCTTCTCCTAGCCTTCCCCAGAGGGACCTGCGCCCTTGTGCCAGGATGAGTGTGTACAAGGGAAAAGGAGATAATGAGAGTCTCCAGTGGCTATCAAACACTGACTCTGAACTGACGCTAACAGCAGAAAAACCCAAACATCACTGTGGCCCCCCAGTCAGAGCAGGGGCTTACAGAGGCCAGGTGATCGCACTCACTGTGTCGTCATTCCCCCAGCTCCGGAGTGGACACACTCAGCGGCTGGCAGGTCCCCCACACTGATTCCCTGACTGGCAGATTCAGGGCTATTCTGGTGGGAGAGGCCCGAGGACAGCCTCTGGATATAAAACCTTGTACCAAAAGCGATACGGCCTCCCTGGAGGGCATGGTTAGTGGGAGATTAGTGCCACCGTCAAGGACTTGAAGGATGCAGGGGAGGTGACTGACACCACGCCCCTTTCAACTCTCCTGCTTGGCCTGTGCCCAGAGAGGTGGATTGTGGGAAAGGACAGTGGATTATCATGAACTTAACCTGGTGGTGACTCCAAGTGGTGCTGCTGTTGCAAAGGTGGTCCCGCTGATGGAGGAGTCAGCACAGCCATGGTGCCCGCGACGCAGCTGTTAGTCTGGTGACCGCTGTCTCTACACCCATACTTAAGACCAACAGAAGCTGTCTGTTCTCATCTGCTGAGGTCAGCAACATGCCTGCGCTGTGCTATATCACAGGTGTATCAACCCTCCAGCCCCCTGTCACACCTGCACTGTGCTATATCACAGGTGTCCCAACCCCCCAACCACTGTCATTATCTGGTCCACCGGGGCCTTACTTAGTTCTGTCCACACAGCATCATGCATGGGACGTCAGTAAATTTAGAAATTATGCTGATTGGACCTAATAGGGAAGAAGCAGCAACTACCCACATATGTGGCTAAGACACCTGCACACCAGACTCGGATGCTGCTTGGCCCTTCGGAAGGCCCCAGAGGCAAATCACAGAGCAGACCCTTAGGGCTTGGGAGCACACACACATCTCTGCAGATAACTACTCTCCTTTCAAGAAACCGCTTTTGGCTGCTACTATACCTTAGTCAAGAATGAACGCTTGGCCACAGGCCACCGAGCTACCACACAATTCGGTTACTATGAACTAAGTGTTGTATGACCATGGCCGTCTTACAGCTCACACACGTTGTTGGTCCTCTGTCCACTCACCCGGATCTGTAAGCAGCTGCCAGCAACTGCCCTTTCCCCCAGGGTCCCATTCAGCTTCTGGGAACTGTGCACGTTCGGCATCCTGACGAGGGGCTGACTTTCGCAGGACACCTCATCACCAAGGTCAGGGCCACGAGAACGGTCATGGGCTCCTGTCCGTCCTTGTCCTCGACCTCTCATCTCACACCCATGGTCCCTTCCCAGTGCCTGCCCTGCAGATTCAGGCTCCAGACCAAAGACAGCAGTCTGGTAGACACGCTCCATCGTCGCCCATGACTGCACACGACCAACTCCCTGCAACTGATCGCGCACGCGGTCTCCTAGCGGTTCTGCTTCCCTGCCTGAACCTGGGACAGTTAGTGTCCTGGGGAGAAAGGGTGCCATAGTCCAATGACTCGGAGCGAATGAATGAAATTCTTTACTGCAGAACTTTCCGGCATGTTCACGAACCAGCATACATCACGAACGTTCAAAAGGAGGAAAGGAGCAAGTAATGTTTCCCAAACCTACTGGACCACAGACTTTTTTCTTGATGGAGCCACTGATAAGCTCTGTGGGATATGATGTAGAAAGAACGTATGGACTCAGGTCCATGTTCCTCCCCTGGTCCCTCCTTCCAGGCCTGGGCCCCCAGCAGGGCCATTTTAGGTCCTGACCACGAGACATGCGAATTTCACCCTCCAGGAGCTTCACCCTGACCCTCACCTGACACCAAGGTGTTGTGTTTGCAAGTGGGCCTCCTGTCCAGGCTCCGAGGGCACAGGAAACAGGGCTTTACTGCCGTAGTAGGAACAGGGCATAGTAATGCTAAGCATGCCGATGCAGCTTCCCCCTCTATTTCAAAAATTATATACATAATATAAATTACGTATGTGATAATTGTGTGTATAATAATATCTGAGTCATTGTAATTATTTTTATTCTGAAGTTAGCTAACATACAGCGTGGTCTTGGCTTCAGGAGTGGAACCCAGTGATTCATCACTTACATACGACAGCCAGTGCTCATCTCAACACGTGCCCTCCTCAATGCGCATCACCCATCTAGCCCACCCCCCACCCTCCTCTCGCCAGCACCCCTCAGTTTGTTCTCCGTATTTAAGAGTCTCTTAGGGCTTACCTCCCCCTCTGTTTTTATCTTATTTTTCCTTCCCTTCCCCTATGATCATCTAAGTTTCTCAAATTCCACATGAGTGAAATCTTATGATATGCGTCTTTCTCTGTCTACCTGACTTATTTCACTTAGCATATTTTTAAAACTATCTTCTTAGCACCCCTGTGAAGTAAACAGGTAACAGGAAGCTCCTGTATAACAAAAACTTGCATAATGACAGTATTTAGAGGCAAACTGACTTTCTGGGGGTTGATCAGTGGCTGGCTTGCACGTGGCTGAGGGGGGCTGGTCCCAGGCGTGGCGTCTCTGTCACGTGACCTGTAGATGTCTCTCCTACTCTCTGAAGCACCGTCAAACTGCTGTGGTTCCTGGACGCCCGGCAGCATCTAGGGCCACCTCTAGCCCACGAAGGGAACCCCCGCTGGAACCTTCTAGGAGTAAGGCTGCCTGCTCCTAGCCCTCTTCTATCTCAGCACTGGTCCCCCCGACCTAAGAGGCCCATGATCTTTAAGGAGAAGCAAAGCACCTGCTGAACGCTGGGTGCAAAGGCAGCTCGGGCCAGCAGCCCAGGACAGGACAGTTTGGCCCACACCTGCCTACCTGTTCGGGAGAGCTTCTGCAAGGTGGCTGCCAGGTGCTGCAGAACCGCTGGTGACACTTCATAGCGGTGTGTGTCTACTGCTGGAACCTTCTGGCACCTTCCAAACACTCCATCTGTGAGAAAAGGGAAGCAGAGAAGAAAAAGTGACATTTCATTTTCAGAGAGAAGAAAGGCATTACACACATCCTTGCAATATATTCTAATTATGCACTGTGGTGAGGCTTTGGAACACGGCTTTAGAAAGTCATCAAAACACTATCATAAGTCAGAAGCACTTGGAAAGTAATGGTTTATTTAAATAGAAGAGCATGATAAAAAACACAATTCCAAAGGTATAGAGAAAAGGACGTGAATTCAGAGTAGCTGGCATTTTCTATTCTACTTTCTCATCCCTTCTCCCCTCGCCACCCCCGCCACTCACTTTTTGTAATTTCCTGCCCCTGGCTTTCACCTTTCTGACTTGAAGCTTTGCTTCTGACGGTCCTGTGACAAAAAAGCCAATAGTACTCAGGATTGGTTTTCCAGATGAGAAACAGAACACCCAGGAAATATAAACATGAATTTGTGGAAGCCTGAGGATCGTGGAAGTACCTGCCACGCAGGCTGGCAAACGGGGGCAGATGCGGGAACGGCAGTGAGGCTGCTCAAGGTGCTTCCAGAACAAGAGAGACTAACGGGCACAATTTATCTAGTCTGTTCCATCTGTCTAAAATGACACACTCTGCTCATCAACATCTTTTCAAACCACACCCTCCAGTTAATTTAGGCCCCAGTTAGTCTTTATTCGGCAAATTGTTCACTTTGAAATAAGCTTCCTGTAGGGGGTTCAAACATCCAAATTACTGTCCTTCGTACACACAAAAGACTAATTCAAGGGCCAGGCGGCCATCTGCAGCTTCAGGCCCGGATGGAGGGGGAAACACTTCCCTTATTGTTCACAACAGTCTCACTGCACGAAGTGTAGCCGAGGAAAAGCCTTCAAGTGCAACAAGTTTAATCGTCAGAGACACGTTCGCCCAGTGCCAGGCTGACTCAGTGATTACGGGTCTGATGTCCCATATGTGCTTAAGATGGATGGCGCTGTGTGATCGGCAGAAAATCATCCTAAGTATGGAGAGCATGTCGTGGATTTCTATGGGACTTTGCACAGCAGGGGACACAGCCGGCACAGCTGCTCATTCCGGGCACACCACGGCCATGCAGAAAAGTCAGACCCTCTGCCGGCCCCGCCCCCCGCACAGGGCTCTACTGGGCACCTCTGCCGGTCACCTCTGTGGGTCACCCCGGCCGTGCGGAGCTCTGCCGGTCACCTCCACCCTATGGCACCGCCCCTCTGTCTGAGTGACTCACTTAACACAACGGCCATCTCCGGCCACAGTGATTCCCAGTCACAGTTCCCTTGGAGGGAGGGTCTCATCTCCCTGCCACTACCCAGTGAGACAGGCAATCTGCTCCACGTGAACACAGACAGCAAGTGTCCCCGTTCTTTTGATTTTGCCTTGTGCGAAGAACCCTGTGCCTGTGGATGGCGTGTTCATGTGGGGAAGGACGAGGGGGCAGGAAGGAGAAGGAGGCTAAGAGAAAAGCTAAGAACTCTCTATAATGTACCTGAAACTCTCAATTTACTTTACAAATGGAGTATCTCGAAAGTAGAATTGTAACATGTAGAGACTGGGAGGAGCATTAAGATGGGCTGACCCCACATTTTACAGTTGAGCGTCGTGACCTGCTAAGGTCCTCATCAGTGAAAAATGGCCAAAGACATTTCCTATCTATTTTGGAACATCCCAAGTGAATTAATTCCCTCTGAAGTATAAACGGCTTCACCCTTGAAAGTTGGTTTGTGCCACACAACGTGGTAAATATATTTTTGGAAAAATAATTATTGGATTTTCTTGAAATCTCTCTCTCGACTATATACTTAAAACACATATATATAATACATAGTATTTTTGTGCTTTTAAAATTAGGTTTAGTTTTAGCTAGTCATTTGGTTTTAATGATTTAAATGTTGAAACTAAACCATTGATTCTCTTTGCCCCTAGACTACAGCCTTGCTGATGAGGCAGGACAGACCTTTCCCCAGTACATTTCTTTAAACTTTATCCTTTAAATAAACTTTATTTTTTAAAGCAGTTTTAGGTTCACAGCAAAGTTGAAGGGCAGGTACAGAGAGTCCCCATATACCTCCTGCCCTCACGTATGCAAACCAACAGCCCCCAGCCTGAGTGGTACATTTGCCACAACCAATGAGCCTACAGTGATGCCTCTTTATCACCCAAAGGCTGTAGTTCACATCAGGGTCATTCTCGGTGTTGTGCACCGATGGGTTTGGACAAAAGCACAGTGGCACGTGCTCATCATTATAGTGTCACGCAGGGTAGTGTCACTGCCCTGAAAATCCTCTGTGCTCCCCCTGTTCACCCCTCCACGCCTCTCACTCCTGGCAACCATTGACCATTTTACGGTCTCCAAAGTTGTGTCTTTTCCAGAATGGCATATACAGTTGACCCTTGAACCACACTGGTGTGAACTCTATAGGTCCAATTTATACACAGATTTATTTTTAGCTACACAGTACTGTGCAGACACACGTGTTGGTGTGTGTACATATGTGCATCTACATGTGTGTATACTGTGTGTGCTTGTGTCCACGTGTATGTGTTTGCATGTGCGTCTACAAGTGTTACGTGCACATGCCTTTGCATGTGTGTTGTGTACACGTGACGTGTGCTGTGTGTATGTGCATACACGTATACACATAGACAGCCCTGCCATTTGTCTAGCGGCCACACTGTGTGAGAACCCAAGGATACAGCCATTCCAACATCATAAATTCATCTAGGAAACAGGTATGTTAATACCTCCCTACCAGAAACCTGATTTCCTTATTTATTTCTCAATAAACAACTTCACTACCTTTTTCTCTGTTTCCTCTGGATGACTGTGTGTACACTCTCATCCACACCTTCTCCTAATTTCCAGCCCCGTAATGCTGTGTATCTGCGGTGCCCTCCCCATCCTAAGGAGTGGATTCCGTCCCTGCCCACACTGCTCGGCCTCATCCTCCAACCTCAGCAAACGCACGCCCTGCTCTGATGTCCCCCCGGCTGGACAGGTGGGATAGTGGTGGGACATGCATCCGGGGCAGAAGTGGACACGCAAACTACTCACTTGTAACTGTGGTACAGGCTACAGAGGGACATGCTCCGGGGCGGCACAAAGACGGGGCACTGACCTCATCCGACACATAAAGACCCCACGAAAGTAGCAGCCGGTTGGGCTCCAACATTTACAGAAAGGGGCTGCCTACCTAGGGCTGGCAGGGACATCTAGGCAGGGGAGCAGGCTCTGTGGAGGACAGGAAGCGTCCGGTCGCTAGAGCTCTGGGACCAAGGCACTGAGCTCCCAGATGCGGAGCGAGTCAGCGGTGTGTGCAGAGCCTGAGGGCACGGAGAGGTTCAGCCCTCCTCCAGGAACTTCTGGCACCTTCCAGGCAGGTTTTGCATTTTGCCAGAAACCAAGGGGTGAGCTGCCTGTCCAGGGGAGGGTGGCTCAGCGAGGAGGACCACCATAGAAGTAAGAGAGCAGGACAGATCCACAGCCTTTCCAGAGGTGAACCCGTAGGACACCAATGCCACCCAGCTGTAGGCCAGCCCCTTCCCCGAGTCCACGGCACAGAAAGCCTCTGGGGTTCAAGGAAATATTCCGAGGGACAGCCCATGGAACATGTGTTTTTCCAAAGCAGAAACAAAGCTGTCTTGCTGCCAGCTGGGAGAGGTGACCCAATGGCCCCCAATCAAGTGACACTGCATCCTTCCGTGCGGAGGCCACCTCCCAGACCTCTGTGGGCAGTAACCACAGCAACCACAGAATCATGGACTGTGCTTAAAATCCCCAAACTTGCTGACGGCTGTCCCCAAGACCAAATTTCTGAGATGACAATCCCCCTCCTCATTTTGCAGAGCAGAAGACTGGGTCTCCACCGCTTCTGGAAACCCGAGACTACACGCTTTTAAACAGAAAAACAAGGGATGTTTGCAATCCTCGGAAAATAGCTGCTGCTGTCCCAGCTGAGTGTCACTGACCAGACGGCCATCTACAACTGGGCAGTGGGTTTCTCCTGTTAGAAAGAGAGACCTTGATGATTTCTTTGCTGTTTTTTTTTTTTTTTTTGAAGAATGTGAAAAAAACAGCTTGTTCATAATGTCTGTGCCTTTGTTTTAACCAGTATTCCTTGGAGCATTATTCCCACAGGCAGAAGTCATTTTCACTCATCAACACCACTGTCCCCTGAACACTGATGCAGGCCTGTGGCTGTGCCCCCCTCCTGGACCGGCGTTCCAGAATTCACTTCTCTCTCGGTCTGTGGGGCTGTGCCTGTCCCCAGGCTGCATAGGACACACGTGTGCACACCTGTGTGCACACACATCTCCACATCCCTCTGGCACTGACATTCTCCTCTCACCTCCAGGCACCATGGGCTCCTGGAAGGCAGGCACCAGAGCTACACCTCTTAGAGCTCCCACATCTGACACTACTCTGCACCCACTGTAGGTTCAATAAATATTTGTGACCGATTAACTGGTGTTTTTCCACTTGCCTGAAAAAAAAGCTGAGTGGCGCCTGAGCAGCTCAGTCGGTTAAGCGTCTCAATTTCAGCTCAGGTCATGATCTCACAGTTTATGGGTTCGAGTCCCGTGTCAGGCTCTGTGCTGATAGTGTGGAGTCTGCCTGGGAGTCTCTCTCCCTCTCCCGCTCTGCCTTTCCCCTGCTCGCTCTCGCTCTCTCAAAACAAATAAACGTTTTTGAAAAGCTGAGATGCCCACAGAAATGTATACCACCATCAACTAGAATCCTAATTCGCTGGAACCTCACACTGATTTAGAAGTGCACAAGTCCCAGCACATGACCCGGCTGGAGGCAGGACCAGGGATCGCTGAGAACAAACCCAGGGGGCTCGTGGTGGAGCCTGCAAATGAGGGGGTGCTCCTCCGTGCTCTCAGCAAACACGGCACCTCCTCCCCCTCTAACTCCGCGCAGGCTCAGAGCACTGGTCCTCCCCCAGCTCATCCATCCCCAGCCTCACACGTGGAGGACCTCTGCTCTGGGG